ACACATGAATACATTTCATCCACACGTCGGAGCGAAATTCAATTTCTAAAGGACTTTTCGTGGTTCACCTTACGGCCTAATAGTCTACTTCCACCGTGAAGCAGCATGGCAAGGAGGCGTGTCCTGTCAGTAGAAGGTGCAGCCTCCAGCTCGTGGCCACAACGCCCAATTAAAAAGAAGATTATCAGACAACAACCAATCACAGCGCAAGGATGGTTAGCATCGCAACTGCTCCCATTTGGGGTCGGCGCAGTGATTCGACATGATGAATTAGAACCAAAATGGCCGTCACAGACCTACGGTGGCAGACAAAAAAGCGCCTTCTAATGGTGATTGACGGCTAGATTAGCCAATAGGCCTTTGAGTCGTGATGTCCAGTATCCAATCAGGTTGCGGCACACGGCTGCTGTCGGCAGCGGAGAGGAGTACAGTAAGCCAGCCGTCGTCTAGATCAACAAGGCTGTGTTTTGGAAGCAGTTTAATAGACACTTCGCTGCTTGTCAGCTGATGCTAAGCGCAGCTTGCACTCCCTAAGAGACGTGTAACGCGAAACCAGCACAAAACTAGCCGAGCCACACTGAACCCTTGGTCGCTTTGGGTGGATGAATTCGTCGAAGTGAACTTTTAAAGGCAGCTAGCTTTTTTTCTTTTAATACATTTCAAGACAGGGCGACTCTGACAGCTGAAAAAGACAGGACCCTCTTCGACTCTAGACCTTTATACAAAATAAACGAGCCAGGAAGATACATTTTACTCTATTAAATTGATAATTGAGCCACGGGGTAAACTAACCTACAGTTGCTGGACAAGTGTTAGCATTTGCCAGGCTAACATAAACCCCTGACAACCACTAAAGCTTCTTTCTGTGGCTGGTGCTGCGTTCATGGGGCACTTGATTTATATCTTGCCCGTGTGACACTCTTAAAACTTTTAACGACTTACCAAATCTTATTTTGTAAAACAAACATTTGACACTTAAACTCGGAGCTGAGCCAGCGCTTGGACCTGAAGCCAGTCGTGTGTGTGTGTGTGTATGCGTGTGCAGCCACGGAATTCTCTTATCACCGGATTGTTATTTTATCAGTGTTATATTGTGGAAAATGACGGCGATCGGAATGGTGCAGATGTTGATCGAAGCAGCCGAGTTTCTTGATCGCAGGGAACGAGGTAAAGTGTCATTACATTGTTCACCACTATACTCAATCCCCCTTTCCAATACTGTTTGTGGAGAAAAAATGGCAGCGACATTCATTCTCCACATATTCTAGCTATGCACCTGTCATTGTGGATCTGCGTAAGTCCCCGTTAATTGTACACACAATCTCCCCGAAGTGCATTCAAAACCTTTATATCAATAGTTTTTGTAGAACAGAGTAGAATCAAAAGATGTGATTATGTGAGTATTATTCTTTTTCTACCCTCATGTATATGTGAAATAGCATCTATATGCATTTTGGTAAAAACAAAAAACAAAAAAAACACAAAAACAACCAAAGATGTATATGTGGCAGATGCAGTTAAATGTGCTTGGTGACATTGATTTTATGGAGCCCCCTCCTTTCCCTCTGTTGTGGTTCACTAGTCGGGTTTATTTCAGTTCAAGATGACATCATTGTGCAGGCTGAGAGGAAGAAAATAGAGTAAAATATGCTGCATGAAATCCATCCAATCCAAATGCACGAAGAATACAAATCAAGGTTGCACATGTTTAAGTATTTCCATTACTGTTTTGGTGCCTTTTTTCACCGTGGTGCTGTATCACTGTATTTTTCAGTCTGGTATCAGGTATCATGTGACCACAATGTTGTTTATTTTCTTGCAGAAGCCGAGCATGGCTATGCCTCCATGCCACCATTTGTCAGCAGTCGAGAGAGGGAGAGCTTGAAAAGGAAAAGCAAAAGAAAAAAAAAAACAAGTAGCAGGTAAAAATAAAATCCACGTCAATCCACAAAAGTAATGTCCATGTAATAACAATATCAGATCATTTAATTATTTACAAATGTGAATGGTGTTCGGTAAATATATATTTTTCTTTAATTTATAACATCAATTTAAATTGCCTGAGGTATTTGACTTTAAAATTAAAATTTGTCATTAAATTTCATTAATGTTTAGCTCACGACATGTTCTATGTTATACACTGGGATTTTTATCTACCGTATTTTCCGCACTATAAGGTGCACTTAAAAACCTGTAATTTTCTAAAAAATCGACAGTGCGCCTTATAACCCAGTGCACCCTATGTATTACTTCTGGTTGCGCTTACTGAGCTCGAACCGATTTTATAAAGCCAAACCACACAGCGCATCACACATGATGGCACACAGCTGAAGCACACTGGGAGCCAACAATGACGTTTAACTCTGTTATTACAATTAGAAGATGCTCAACAACAATTGTTACAGTATGGTTGTATAACCGGAATCCGTGCAACGTTGTCGTGCCTCTAAACACCTGGAGACTGTGTTGTGTTTTTGTATTGTATTGTCGATATATGGTGCGATGCAGGACGACTCAGACACATGGCTGTCGATTTTTCCGTGGTCAAGACCTCTTTTTATTTCTCCCTTTTTATCGATACAGGAAAAACACATACTCTCTCTGCACGGAACAGCGTCAAACCAACAATACGGTGACCATCCAGAACAGGGGTGTCAAACTCATTTTCACCAGGGGCCACATCAGCAATACAGTTCCACTTAAAGGGCCGGTTGTAACTGGAAGACTGTATAGATTAGGGGTCCCCAACGCCCGGTCCGCGGACCAGTACCAGTCCATTGGCCATTTGGTACCAGGCTGCAGTGGGACATAGTTACAAAAATGTGCTTAATTTTTACTAATTTACTTCATTCAAAGAAAGTCCAGTCATATCCATTTACTTTCTTTATATAATGATCAATTAAAAAAATGTAATAAAAAAACTTAATTTCTCAGGTTAAGCTCCCGTGGGCCACACAAAATGGCTTGGCGGCCCGCATTTGGCCCCCGGGCCTTGAATTTGACACGTATGATCCAGAACAAAAATAGTGACAACCGCCTGACTCTGGAGGGGAGAACAGCAACAACAACAGCGTCCTCCAGTGTCCAACTTAGGTTATTCCCCTTTTCCACAAATCTCCGTCCCTATTGATCTGCAACTCCATGCGCGCCGATCTCACCCATATTGTCAAAACCCAAGTGAAGCATACTAATTCGGGGCTTGCCATCATTCCGGGTAGATTAACCAAAGAATTCCAACCGCTAAATATTGGTGTTAACAGGGCGTTTAAAGTTAAATTGCGAGCTGCATGGGAGCATTGGATGACA